ATGAACGTCCTCTCCTTCACTCCTGCTGAGGTCATCAATGTTTGGAGGATAATGGATTCATTATTTGCATGGTGCTGTCATTCGACTCGCATTAGTCGCATAAGTCAACTGTAACTGCACGTAGCTCGTTGTTCTTAATCTTTTGTTGGAATTACCATCTCCATGCCCTACAGTGACACTGATAGGACAGAAACAAGGTGCAGGAGATTTTTGTCAAGGTGTCGCTTTTTTCTCAACCTGAACAGTGGACAGGTTCTCAAAAAAAACTCGAGACTATGGCCAGGCTTATATTTAATACTCTCTGGACAGTATCATTAGTAAAGATGACGTATCCGAGATGCTTAAATTTGTCGACTTTTTGAAGTGTCTCACCTGCCTATTCCAAATGTAAATCGGATTACAGTATGGTTCGGGGCTAACACTCATGAATACTTAATTTTCAAAGGAATATCTACAGTTAGAGATAAAGCTGAAGCTACGAGAAGTATAGCAACGCGTAGCGTCTCGTTCCTTGTCCAACAAAATGCTACTCGTCTCTCTACGTCCGAACCATGAACGGCGAGTGAACCGACAAAGGATTCGACTCACGATCGTTAGACTGCGAATCTGACGCTTTACTGATGGAGCAACTCATGTATATAACAGGGACAGAATGTTTTGGAGATCAGTGATGTCAGCCACATTCGATCAGGTCTTTAACATTTGCAGCTCTGTGTAACAACGTCAGCGTGTAGCTCTAGTTTCGATAATGGGGTTACTGTAAGGCTGAGGATATTAGGTTAAGGTGGAAAAGAAACGCTGTAAAGCTTCTAAGATATTATAAGATGCGAATCAGGTTTGAGATGACTGAAAAATCAACATCTGCCACTCACCGCTATCAGAGTAAACTTGGCTTGACTAAAAGAACCAGAACCACGCGGGCAGTCATACCTAAGAGTATAAAGGCAGTAACAGAAACAAGGATAAAACTAAACTAAAAGAGGATCGATCGAAAGTTTGACGACCTACCATGAGTCCAACTGCTCGCCATTTTTCATGACCACCGTGCCAGCCTTGTCAACGATAGCGAACACCATTTTGCAGCACAATTCACGTCGCACGCACATCGGCAGGTTAGCGAACGCTGGCATGTTTTGCATGAAGTCCAGCAACACGTGGATGTCCTCACAGCACCGCTCTGACGGGTCCTTCTCCAGGCACTCGCGAACGTTGTCGTGTAACTCCATGTACGAACCACCACTCGGACATGACTCGTCGTCCTCGTCGCTATCCACATTACCCTCCGGCAAACCTAGAACGATGGATACCATAAAACACATGGTAAACTCATGTGATTTATCACATGGACACGGGTACACCGGTGAATGACCACTGTGATTTTTCAGGACGACATAAACTAAGATACGGTCAAGAAAATGGCTAATACTTCGCCGCCCTTAAGCTTTAAAAGCGACTGGCCTACCGTCACGTTAAAAAAACTAACGTTTTTGCACAGCTCACGACCATCTCATCGCTGACGGTTCATGACGAATGCGCTGCTGCTGTCGTAACTCATCAGACTGTTCTGTTTACTACATTTTCGTAAAAACTTTATCAAACTTTCATGTAAATCATCAAGCATGTGGGTACTACTTAGGCGTGCAAGTAACTGACTTTTGTACTGTCGTCGTAATCCAAGGTTGACTTAACTTAAACACCAGCAAAACCCAATTTTATGATGTTGAAGAGTGCAGAGTTAGTTATCAACCTAAGTAAGATTATCAAACATGTAAATACGTTTATATTACATGAGTACATGAAAAACCACCGACTGATTTATAGAGCATAACTAACTATGAAAGTAGTAATGCGGAGATGTAAACATGCACTGCAAGTACGAGAATACGTGTTTAACAAGTCAGCATGCTTCTCAGTGCCTAAGTGCATGAGAAAACGAATTAGTTTGTAAGCACAGGAAAAAGTAAGTAAAAAGTAAGTACATACTCAAGTACTTAAATGTGCAACTAACAAAAGAATACGCATGGAAAACAAAAAGGCACACAACGCAATACAGTTGTGTGCTGGACGATAGGACGATACCGATGTTTGAGCCCGCATCTCTGGTGGCAGTTTTCAGTTGCAGTGAAAATAGTTAGCTGCGGGTGGCTCGTCACTAGCAACGTACCAACAAAACGTAGTCCACTTTCAATGAACGTATGCAAGTACCAAGTATAAAACTAGAGAAAACTATCGCCTGCGGTGTGGGGGGGGGGAAGTAGACGGCATCAATTTTAGTTAGCGGCCAGCAGTGAGACAAACAAAAGATTGACATCATGCTTCGTCTGTACAACGGCGGTGACAATCAGCAATCGACGTCCCGACCTGACGTTTGGTAACATTGAGTGAGAAAAACTTTACGACGACTAACAGCGAAACGCTAACTGCTTTACCTAATAATGAATGTTAGCGTTGACGATACGAGAATGCACGTAAAATGTTAAAACGCGACAGGTCAACGAGTCAATCGGTAAACACGAGGCAGACACAAACTAGCGTGCATCGACCCGACTGGCAGTTAGAAAAAGCCTCACAACCAGATATAGCCCAAGACAAAATTGCAATACTGAAAGAAAAGCACATATGTAGGAGAAAATGAAAACATGAACACACCATCAGAGGTGACGTTTCGACGGAAATCAGAACATAGTATTGTGCAATGACAAGAAGAATGATGTCAGAATTCTGCATTGTGCAAATAATTCAAAATTGGTGTATTTCAGTAGGTTAAAGTTGCCAAAAATCCAGTGTTGTCCTGAAATTTAAGTCAATTACGGGGCAGAATACAGTCTACTCAAGCATATTACGTCTAGCCAATACATCGGAACAAAATCGATTGCAATGCCATCGAACATCTTCAGAAAATCTATTAAGGCAGACCACGGAAAATATTGCGAATCGAGGGAGCGGGCTAGAAATGTAAAAAAAAATACGGACTAGTCTGCAGAAAAGATTTCCAACTTCAAAGCCAATGCGACTTGAGAAAGGAGACGCAGGGCCATTTTGATGGTACCTGCTGAAGATGACCGCTGCGAGATGGTGGATGATCAAAACCAAACATTTCTGACCAGAACATTGACCACTATCAGACTGCTGATTTTTGCTTATAAAAGTTAAATAATCAGTTAATTTTATAACTTGCCTGAAAAAAGACTGAAAACTAAAACGGAAACCATGGCCGATCAAAATACGAGTTTGTTGCATGCAAATATTTGAAATAAAACTTTTCATGGGCAATTAAATCAATTTTACTCTTTATACTTACTAAACTATACGGAGTGAGTTACGAAAATGTTTCGAGCGGAAAGAAGTACTGGTCTGAACTTAACTTTTCAAAAATAATTTTATAAACTCAAGACGTTTTTCAGTACATTTTAAAGTTATAGTTAACGTAAAGCAAAACCGATTGACTAGCTCCCGACCGCTGTCCAATCCGAAGCAACATCCGCAACTATACAACCATATGAAGGCGGCGTATCACCTGTGGCTAAGATCAAACTTAGCATTGTTAGTTTTCCCTCCTCCCACCATTTTGTGTATGGAGAACTCTGTTTTGATGACTAGGTCTTGGACGTTTTAGTGCATTTCGTTTGAAAATTTTTCGTAATAGGACGAGGTTGCAAGGGCATGGCGATGGGATTGTAACGAGACAGGACGTAAGCTAGCACTCAGAGGTCAACTTTTAAAAAAATCTACTACTTTCATGCTGTCACTCTGTTTACGTGCCAGTCATCAGTGCTGTGAATACTCGAAATGGACCTTTAGTCAAACTAAACCGACGTCAAACAAACCATCAAGTTTCGTAATTAAGAACACGTTTGAAAGAAAACTACGGTAAGGCAACGATGTCAGAAAAAAACTCATCAGTTACATCCTGTCAATCACGGAAGTTACGACCATCATGAACGCCGATACACAAACACGCATGATTAGTGATATCAAACGGAGAAAAAATGAAACGAAAGGATACGCAAAATTGCACATTTCCGAACATTTAACCTATTTTCTAAAGTATTTGAAAACTATTTGTCTAAGGAAAAATACGATGCACATTTCGGACAGCAAACCGCTCGGAATCCAGTCCTTCGGTAGCCTTAATGCAGTAGCGCGTAGATTAAGTATTGACGAAACGGTGAGTCAGTCAGTCAGTCAGTCAGTCAGTCAGTCAGTCAGTCAGTCAGTCAGTCAGTCAGTCAGTCA